TTAATGTTAACGATAAAACTAATTAAACCACTGACCTTTATATACCTCATTAGACCAAATATCCGTTTCCAGTGTTACAACCGAAACGACACTTCACTGAAATACACGATCGGGAATCACTTTGGACTGTCTGGGACTGGCTGTCGATGCAAATTCATGCCATCAATGAATATTAATATTGACGTCAAAAACAAGAGCTCTTTAAATGGTTCACACAAATGATGTATAGTTTTGCAAACTTTTTGTTTTACGGCATAAAGTTTTTACACCGTACGAGTTGGGTAAACATTTTCCACTATGTTTTTAAATCATTGCCTACTATTAATATTAATAATTTTGTGTTTATTTATAAATTAATGCCAAATAATTGTGCAAGGTTCATAATGGTTAAGCATAAATTTAACATATAATTTCCAAGATATCATATAATTCAGTGATTACTTGGTTTTGTTAAGTATTCTAACATTTATTTAATTGCATATTAAGGGGATTTCATTGAATACCATATATCTCACGTAGCAAAGGACCCAGGTGTTTAGGCCTGGCCTCCCATATATTTTTGACGGTATTTTCACTTAAAATAGTCAGATCTCGCAAACAATTCATCAGGGTTGCAAACTTGCATTTAGACTCATATTCCGACTCATACTTCAATAATAGGTAGCGTTGCAGTAAATGCATGTAAATATATTGCTGGAGCCTATTGTCATTAGAAATAAAATATTAAATTTAAATATAATATGCACACTAATTTACTTGATAACTTCTCTATAGACAATTCCGGGTCGATCAGGGTTAAACAGTATTATTGCCGTTAACTTAAGTTATAATGCGTAAAATAATTAATTAAAACCATTGTATAAATTAATGCCAAATAATTGTGCAAGGTTCATAATGGTTAAGCATAAATTTAACATATAATTTCCAAGATATCATATAATTCAGTGATTACTTGGTTTTGTTAAGTATTCTAACATTTATTTAATTCCATATTAAGGGAATTTCATTGAATATCATATATCTCATGTAGCAAAGGACCCAGGTGTTTAGGCCTGGCCTCCCATATATTTTTGACGGTATTTTCACTTAAAATAGTCAGATCTCGCAAACAATTCATCAGGGTTACAAACTTGCATTTAGACTCATATTCCGATTCATACTTCAATAATAGGTAGCGTTGCAGTAAATGCATGTAAATATATTGCTGGAGCCTATTGTTATTAGAAATAAAATATTAAATTTGAATATAATATGCACACTAATTTACTTGATAACTTCTCTATAGACAATTCCGGGTCGATCAGGGTTAAACAGTATTATTGCCGTTAACTTAAGTTATAATGCGTAAAATAATTAATTAAAACCATTGTGTACTAGGGTATTATTTATGAATACAAACCAAATCCATGATAATGTCATCGCTTTCCCATTCGGGTATAATTTGTGTCAAATATTTTTCGTGCCATTCGTAGACATTACGCTTTTGGTGCTTAAGTATAGCCAATCTTATTAACGTTGATATCTCTGACTCATTCTGCCATGATCAATTAAATTATTGTACATTATCGTAACCTGTATCATTCACATTCCTACCGTAAATATAATCCAATATTTATGTTCAAGATTAAAGTGCTCAACGAGTCTCATGTAATGTATTTCAGTGGTTCCGTATTTAATCAACAATTCTCTATCGCTTTCGCAAACGCTTTCAAATGCATTCAACTTCTTAAACATTTTGACAAAATTCTGGACTTCATTGTGGATTTTGGGGGCCCACAGGTGTGACGATTGCCATATGTCTGTTGCCTCCACTATAGCCCGTACTGAGTGTTTATCTTTCAATAGTTTTGTGGCATTTAATAACTCATTTAACTTATAATCTTCTGTTTCACTCAAACTTTTATTGTAATCACAGATAACTCGCGGAATCGCATTGAAATATATCTGATTGTCACTTGTATTTT